GGTGAACAATGTGTCTACTTGGAAATATTCGAGATTCTGAACGCACTCTTGGGATTTCACTTTTACTTGGTTCAAATAAGTTCACACTACTTGAATTCTGTTCTAATTTACGATGCAAGTTTTCACCAGAACCAGAAGTAATTTCAGGATTAGATTCTGTAATAGATGTAGTTTCAGTCACATTGGAATCCTGATGATCCAAATGAAGATTGTCAGGGAACAATGAAGGATCATCAGAATCAATGGAACATCCAGATATATTATACATATCTTTATTAATAGATGACATCCCCGAGGAATAGTTTGTATTGATTGGAACATCCTCAGAACCTTTATTACCTGGTTCTTGGACATCATTAGTGCTTCCATGCAACTCCTCAGCTACGGTTGGTTGGTCTTGTACCTTGGTTTGTTCTGGGTGGTCCAAAGAACCAGGTGTATCACAGATAGTTTCCTTTCTGTCTGAAGGCAATTGTTCAGATTTTGTAACATCATTTGGTATTTCAGGTTCCATACTTAGCTCTGGATGATCCTCTGATGAATTTTTCTTCATGCTTGGCTCTGAATGATTCACAGATTCTGTTGTATCACAATTAATTTGTTTTGATTTGGTCATTTCATTATTACACTGATCAACATACACTTTACTATTGTCTGATTCTAATTCCTCACTCTCAGACACACTGGGTAATCTCCCTTGTCTTATTAATGGCTTATCAAATGTTGAATTCAACTCTATTGCACTAGGTTTGTCCTGCACCTTGGGACTTTGCTCATCTCCGTTTGAATCCATTTCTTCATCATCATCAAAAGACAGTCTGTAGTTCTGACTTGAAAGATTAACAGACGCCATTTTTGAAGATATCTGCTGCTCAAATAGTGAATCTGCTACTTCCATTTTAGTTTGGTTTTGAATCTGCAATGTCTGTATAATTAGCTAACACTATGTGTGGTCTCGTTGGATAACATTTTCACTTTTGAAAAAATCAAATGGTCACTGATGACTACAGTGAACAAGAACAAACCTATTTTGAGTCTTTGTTGACAAAACTGAAATAGTTAAACTAAAGTCCAGACATGGCACACTACCTAGAGCTAATATATCTCAACACATAATTGTTTACACTTCTTATAAAGCTAGTCAACATCAAAACTAGGATCCCTTACTCTCTTGTCATTTTCTGTTATGATAAACTCATTTTTTAAATTTATTCAAACATATTTCAATAACCAAATACAAATTTTGTCAATCACTGCACTAAGTTATGTCAACTATTTCCTAAATAATTTATACTGATGTTATCTTTTCCGATCTCCAGGTCATTTAACTTTAAAAATAATGTTTTATAACACAGCAGATATTCCTTATAAAGATTTTCAGCGAATATTTTTGCCGAAGGTAAACTTCACCTCGACTGTTACAGATGTGAATGAAGTATTTTAAACTGTTTGGTAAATTATGTTGAGTTCAAACTGAGTTGACAAATCACAATGTTCATTGTGTCCAAAACAACCAGATTTTTTCACAAACACACATTAAAACCTCCATACTTCTTTTTTTTATAGAATTTTCACAAAGTTAAAACTACGTCATATTTGAGATGAGTGTTTCATTGAGGACTTCTGATGCTTTTCAACAAAGTCTTATGTCTACACCAACACAAATGGTTCAATAAAGACTGGTATGTTTGACTAACTCACTACTCTGTCTCGTCCTTTAACTACAGAGATAAGAGTTGTACCTCAACTTCCGCTAGTCAACAATCAACAAATTTTACTTGTGTTACTAATCTATAGCCAACCAACATACTGTCACCAATTTTAACAACATTTTCACATACTTCAAACAACAGATGGGTCACATATTCTTATTATGAGTCTACCAAACCAATCATTGGGGCATGTCCTTCTACTCGTACAAGTTCCGCACTAGTAACTATCTATAAGTAAAATACTATACAGTGGAGGTTCTCAGGTAAACACACAGTCTAATCTAGTCTCTATTGTAAAGATAAGTAATGAACACACCCTATATACAGGCCAGTTTTCAGGTATCTTTAGTCAGGTAAACTGGTCGATTTACTGTTATTCTTCCTTAACATTACCTTGTAAAGTACATTTAAAAATAGCCTCAATTTTAAAATTTCCTATTCAACACCAGCTGATTGAAAAGGGAATTTAGGAGACATGTTTCTACAGATATATTTTAGGTATTTGCCAATTACTTTTATCATTTCACTGTGAATATATATCTCTCCTCAGTTGTCACAAAAAGAATTGCATTTACATGGCAGACGACAGTTCCAAATATTGCAGATGTCACATTTTAACTCAACTTTAATGTTTATCACAACCATACTGCTAGTTAAACTTGAATGTGGTCATTTTACACTATTATAAATTTGAAATATTCTATGCATAACAGCATAGCATTTTTATCCAAACTTAAAATTGTAATTAAACCAACACTTGTAGCACAGAATAAATCACAGCTTTTCTGTAAACTTTACATTAGTGATAATATTTTTAATGAATACATCACAATATCCAAACTAATCAGTTGACAGTTTGGGGGAAAGATAAGTTACAACAGCTGTTATTAAATATTGCTCTAGTTATTTATATTAATGACTAATTTCCAGCATAATCTTCCATAGAATAATTCTAATATGCATAATATCATATATGAAGATCATAGATATACAGTACAAATTAACTGTTTATTTAATAATTTAGGCTGATTTGAACATTTAATCATTCTAGTTTATAGTCAAACATTGGCATTTCACAATGATTTATATTTATGTACTTTTCTATGAGAATTTATTATAATTCCACATCAACAGGTGAACACTGCTTACAAGACTGTTTCCAAAGTCAATCTTCAATCTATTTGCTTTAAGCTCTCAATTCAAAGTCCAAAAAGCTTAATGAGTTTGATCCCCATTTCAACAAATACTGTGTCATGACAGGGCAGGTTGTGCTAATACTTCCAGACCACCTGTTGTCACTCTGTTACTAGGTTTAACAATTGAGCATCTTTCAGAAAATTCACATGGCTATTATTTGAATCCCTATATTGTTGCAAATACTTGCTACATAATTAAACATTTATATTGTTGCCTTATATGATACACATTACTAGATAGCACATAGAAATAATATCCAGGCTGACATGATAATTATAATAGAGGATTATTTAACACAATGACTGACACATATCTCTCATACCATCCATGCATGAATGTGACCCAATATACTGGGACTGGTACATTATTCTTTGCAGAGACTTTACAATGATCTCATGTTCTGTTGAGGTGCTAATTAGGGAATTCTCTGGAATCAATTGAGAACTCTTCCAAAATCTTATAAACTACTCAAGAACAGATTAGGCCCTTATTATGGATTGGACTCTCCTGATTGAGAAATGGGTTGGTGATACCACTGAAACTATCACAACAATTTTTTGCTAACCTAAAACAGAACTAACCCAAATTTTGTTCGCACTTGACGTTACTATGTAATCTATATAATAAATAGTACAGGGCATCTGCTGCAGTCATTATTTTGTCTTGAATCCATGTCAAATTATAATAAGGGAGGACCATGATGAAGCCATTGGTACAAAAATAGCTTGGTTCATCTAAAAAATCTAACATTTGTAACCACTTGATGTCTACCTTTATCAATATAATGGTGATAATTTATTCTACCTGACAATCTCTCTTTAAACCCCATTATAGATTACATGCTAATTTGCCTTTTAATTAAACCATGATGTCACATGTCAATATTACTTCTACTAGATTAGAGATTACAAAACAAGTACAACAATATGTCAAAGATGAATTGACCGATTTGACAAATCAAGTACAGATGTTAATCTGACTTTAACTGTAATTGTCAAATCATGTAAAAACATAGTGTGATTGTTCATAAACATTGTGAACTTAGCAAAGGGAGCGGATCTGTCAGATTAGGCCACTTAAGGAAATTTGGGAAATAAGGACATCTCACATCCATGTGTTCCAAGTATTGTGATTGGTGACATTTTGAAGCTCTCTATGATAAAATCTCAACAGCATGTGAAACTCTATGTCGCCTTATAACATAATAGTGATATTGTTTATCAGACATGAATTTGGTCTGATACACTGTATATCTAACATACTTCCTTATAAATATCAGTAGGCAGACCTTTGACACATTAATAATCTCTGAAAGAGTAAGACTATCCTATATGTTACGCATTATAGTTTTCAATTTCTAATTTTTTTGCTACACCTGTAACATGATGCAGTGAGTGTGAGTCACAAATATTGATATACAAACTCTTTTTCTTGTATATAAAATTAATGTGTTATGATGAACAATTAATTTTTACAGGCAACATGTTTAAAAGTGATGATCCCTCAAACATTGGGTCTTCTCTTAAGGAAGTTTTAGAGACCCTCAAAATGTACATCATTAATACTTTATGTAAACTGCTGTAAATGTATGATCAGGATAAATTTGTATATCGTATGTATATTCTTTGTAGAAATATATGACCCTATATATGTAAACTGAGTGTAATTGTATATAAATGTAAATGACTAGGTATGATTGAACATAATACATTTACTGGTGAAGAAAGTATGATAAAAACAATATATGATAAAGATAATGATATGATATAGTATGCTTAGTTTTGTGTGATAATAAAGTATTGTAAGAACTATGTACAATAGTATTTGGAATTCAGCATAGTTGTTATTTTAAATGTAACTGTTCATATCCATATATTTGAATAGTAAGACTGTTACTACATCTTTCTGTATTTGTTGGAATTGCTACGTGAACCTCAGAATTTCATTCATTACAGAAGTATATTGTGATATTGTGTATTTTGTCGAGTTTGTTGATCTGACTATGTTTGTAAATGGATGATTGTAAATGCAAAATCCAGTAATAAAAGTTAAAAGTGGTGTGCATTATATTCACAATTATACAGTACATACCTATTGAGATCTTTCTGTGTTTTATAAGCCATAGACAACTCATCATCTTCATTAACTAAGTTATCTTGTCCACTGTACGATTCTTTAGCTATAGAATGAGTAGAAATAGTACGATCAGCTAACATAGCACGTAGTTGTAGACATTCTTCCCTTCTTCTGTCTAGTTCGTCTCCCATAGCATCATATCTCTCTGTAATATAATACAATACCAAGTTAGATATTGAACACAGTAAATTAACATAGCTTGGCATTCTGTGATTCAAATGGGAAAGAAATAGATGTTAAATGTCTACGAACACAGAAATAAATGAATGAAAAAACAAGCAAAAAACACAAACTAAGTTTATTTTGCGAATTAATCAACTAAATATATATATAACAGTTGTTGATTTCATTATTTGTACCCAACATCTTTGACACCCTAAAAGATCTGTTATCAAGGTCTTCAAGAAAGGTTTAATTTGTGTTATGGCACAAAACAAATTCTATATGCAACCGCAATAAGGTGGAGTATTTTTAAAGATGTAAAAGACCTAAATTTAATGGGGATCTTGTGTTTTACTAAAAAAAAAATGTGATCACTGCCTGAAAATAATATTGCTTCAACAGATAATACACCTGTATGATACTGTATGCTTATCAATTAAACTAGTAAATGTCATTTAACAGATATTGAAAACAGGAAAATATTCAACAAATATTTTGATACTAAAGGGTAAAATGGGGAGATGTTTACATCTTACCCTTGGTAATCTGAGTCGTGTGTGATTTTTTCTTGAATTTGTCTAAAGATGAAGTAATAAAGAAAAGATGATATAAGACCACACCAACAAGCAACCAAGTAAATAGAAGCCATACAATAGTTGCCAAATACCACATGCAATAGTAAAGAAAAATAAGAAATGAAAATTAAAATAAAAACAGATAAACATTTATAATTAGTAGTAAAAATTATTAAGTAGAAATATTAAGAGAATGGTCTACATGAAAGTCAGAACACAGTAGTGGCTGATGTAACTGCCATAGTTGAGAATTTCTAATGAGTTTTAAAGATCTTTCAGTGATTGATTTGTAATGCATTATCATCATACAAATGCAGAAATATCATTATATTCAAAAAATAGCACTATTGTTGTTTTGAAAGTTTAAGTTTGATCTGTTTCTCAATGCATGTTTGTCTTACAAGAGAAGTTAATCACTACATAACATAAAGACTAGATTAGCAACACACATCAGTACAAACTAAACAATTGAAGAGGTATCCTAAACCTTTTATTAGTATGGAAAGTATTGATTTGCACCATTCTGATTTTCAGTCTGAAGACGTCTGTGGGTCCTACAAATTTATAATTACAGGAACCACTTCCATCTGATGAAAACTGAATGATGTAAACAGCACTAAATTGCACATAAAAGGTTAGAAAACCTCTTCCAATCCCTTTCAGAGTAAAAGCATACAATAGGACTATATCCTTTTAACTACAAGCCAAACACCAAGAACTGAACAAGATTAAAATACTCACCCATAAATTTCTTGCCAGTCGGTGATAACTCTCCACTTCTATCATCTAGATCAGTACTTTCAGCTATAGCATTCATTAATCTTGTTACTTCACGTTTTAATTTATCATTCTCATTCTCTAATTCTTGCATCTACAAAATTATTATATTTCATTAGTTGACTATACTAAATAATAGAATAAATACAAACAAAATGACAAAAATAAGTTGATAAGTTAGCGAAGTTACAAAATTCACCCATGTTTATGTTGAGGTGGCAAAGATTACTACTAAATTTAGTTTATAAAAAATGTAAATGTTGATCCCATTTTTATTTGCAAAAAACCTATAACATTTCTTATAACAAATTAGTGTTTATAGACCTTGGATATACAGAGAGGCCTATATTTTCTTTCTATATTTTGTGCAGCATGCTCTACTCTGATCTACAAGTGTGTATCAATGTCTTCAATGAAAATATGCAGAACAAGCATAGAGTAGAATATTATAGCTTGCAATTCAATTGAAAAAGAATATTTTGTTTGTATAGCTAAAGAAGACGCTAACAGAAGGATGGAAAGGTAACAATAGAGCATTCTTTTCAGTTTGATGACTGAGTATATCTATGGTATATCAGGAAATAGAATCATAATATTTTTAGGTGATCATAGAGGTTAGCTTTATTTCTAGAATCTATGAGTAAGATTTGTATCACTGAACTAAAATCATTAACTATGATATCAGGCAAAGTTTGAAATCCAGTTTAAAAGAGATGAGAGTTTCCTCTAACTTGCAAGGTCAAAGATGATATCAAGTTCTAATGTGTATCATATCAAAGCACAGAATCTAAATCTACTAGGCATAGGCATATATATATGTGTTTCCCCGTAGTATACCTTCAGGCTCTGAAAGGCCATATCACCACCCAGAAAATGAGATTCCTCCTCAATATTCTGTTCGTCCAGTCTTTCTGTTAAATGATATTTTTGTTCTTCCAGATCCCGGACACGTTTTTGCAACTTAATGACCAAGGCTGCATCATCGTAATTGCCCCCATCTTCCTGTTAAGTTTTAATATTTTTAATACAAAGATCTGGGCTATTCTATTCTCTTACCTAACAATTTATACACATAAAATCCAAATGGATAGATCGATACACACGGATAATTGTATTGTGGCCTAAGCATCATTTAGATATCAAGAGTTGTCTCCCATGAGATAACAGTTGAAGAGGCCTGAGACGAAATCATATATGTACAGATATTGATTGATACAAAAACATTATTGTGGTAATGTTGCCTTAACATCATTTAGATATCAAAAGTTGTCTCCCATTGGAAAAGCCTTAAAAAGGCCTTAATTGGTGAATGAACAATTCAGAATCAGGTTCTTTAGCTCAATCCATTTCACATAATTTCAGGCTTTTCACTTAGCAAAGTATAACTAAGAGTATTTAATCATTAGCCACCTATCATAATTATAATGTACATAATAAACAAAACAAAAAGAAACAACTGACTAACAACAATTTGATCCATTTCCCTTTAGATCAAAATAGAATAATAATCTAAAAATTTCCTTTTAAGATGTACATATCATGTAACTAACCTTCAGATTATTAAAAGCTGAAACTGTAACTTGTGGTAGATCATTACTATCTTCATATCTGTCAATTCTTTCTTGTAAATGTTGTCGTTCTTTTTCTAACTCCTTCACTTTATTCTGTAGTTTTAAAACCAGACTGACATCTACCTCAGCTTCCTGTGAAAAATATTGGGTTCACTTATAAATGATACTTGTTATGTTACTTCATCCATTTTCAAAAAGCATGTCAATTACTAAGCAGGACTAAAAAATACATGCCAAATGCAACAAGAGGTCACAAGAGGGGCCTCTTTTGCAGCCTAAACATTTAAGAGAACTATTACTTATATTTTCAGTCTAATCTAGCAAAAAGGGGCTAAGAAATGGCCAAAAATGAGAAGTAATTTTCTTCTTTGAAGACTCTTCGTAAGCAGCACTATTCCCTATTGTTATGATACATTATTCCCTATTGTTATATATACATATATCATTAAGAGGATTACACATGAGGCTATAGAATGAAACCAATACATGCTATTGGTTTAGGAAATGTGTTAAAGTATTGCAGAGGAGAATTACCATAGTCAATGTGCATGCAGACAACACTTACCTTGTGCCCTGATACCTCATTCATTACCCTGTCTAATATATTGGGTCTTTGAGCTTCAGACTTTCTCTTGACAGTTTCATATCCTTGATCCTTAGAAAAACAAGCCAGGGTAAGCAAGACAGATAAATATAAAGATAATTTCCAATCAAACCAATTTCAAAACTCTGAAACTTCCTGGCTCTTGTTGGACTGCTAATATGAAAGACACTTTAACAGGATTAGTGGCACGACAAGGAACAATGTCCTAGTGAGTAATTTTGTATCCAAAACTATGAATATCAGAAGGTAAATATGAGTAATCAGGTTTTTTGGATTGATTGAAGAAAAGGAATTTAAATACGGTTCCCATCACCAAATATTGACATAACATTTAAGATAGAGGCATTTAGGAATATTTTACATGCATATATAATCTTGCCCTGAATGCTTTATTCATGCAGGGAACCTTAGAGGATAGGAAAACATCATAGCATTGTATATGTAATTACAAATTTTGAAGGAAGAGTAAGATCATGTCTGTTGTTTAACATAGAGGTATTAAAACTAGAAAATTCCAAAACTTAAAATGATTTCACTCAAAAATATCATCACGAACTCAAAGCCTTTCTTTTATATTTGTAAATACCTTACAAGAAGAAATATCAAATTAACAACTGAAAAATACCTCTTCTTTTTCTTTCTCTTCATTATTTCGTTCTGCGTCTGCTGAACTGCTGTAGGATTCAATACTGACAGCACTGATATCTGATGGTGTGCGTTTATGTCCAGTTGGGCTGGTCACTATTTCTAATTCTCCTTGTAAATTCTCAAACCTCTGTTGTAATCTGGCATGCTCTTTGACTAATTTCTGATGATGACTTCTTTCTGATTCAAACTCTGCTAGTAATAGTTTGTTAGCTGCTTCTAGCTTGTCTTTTACTAGACCTGCAAAATATGATTCTTATTGTAAATCATGTAAACTATCGAATAATGGAAATTATGTATGCTTTTCGATTTACTCTGAATTAGAGGATTTCAATGGCTTTATCACACTTAGAGCTCAAGTTGAACATATAACATGACGCACTCAAAATATCCAGAAACCTACCATAATAACTTACCCATTATGATTATTAAAAATTGCCCACAAAATTCAATTACCTGCTGTACTGCTTTCAGCTTCTTTTAATTTCTCTTGAGCCAGATTGAGTTGATTTTTGATTTTCTCTTTTTCTTCTAAAACTTCATCTATGATCTAAAACACATCAATGTTAACAACAAACTTGACAAAAGAATTAATAGTTTTGCATTCTTAACATTAGCCTACACATTTTGGATTTTTAACTGGATCTGCCTGTAGCAAACATGGCCACGATTTATTGCATATCAAATCAATACCTTTGTGTTACGTTTTCTAACTTTTTTGAAGAGAAACTTTATTTCCGATTTCTAAGACAGTATATCTACAAAATATAATAATACACGATAACTGTACCTTGTTGTGATCTTTCTTCATCAGTTCTTTCTCAGAAATGAGGTCTTGTTTTTCACCTCTTTCAGTTTCTAATTCAGCCTTCAAACGTTGTATTTCGGCTAATAATTCAGTGATCTTATTGGAAGAATCTTGAGCCACTTCCTTATTTTCTTTAAGTTTAGTAATTTCTGACTTTAACTGAACTATCTTAGCTTCTTCTTGTTTCACTTCTACAACTTCTTTGGCCTATTTAAGAAAATAATTTTGACCGTAATTTTTCCAATCTGAACATATCGGTCACATCAATTTAACATTAACAGATAGTGACTTTGTTCTAAAGTGAAAACCTGTTATTTTTTTTTTAAATTGCAGCAATTTCAGACCATTTATTGCATTTCAGCATACAGATAACTTTCTGCAGAGCAGGATTTTGGAATGGTCAGCACATGAAATCAATTCTCTTTCCTGTGTAGCTACACCCAGCACAAAATTATTAAGGCAGCCAAGGCCTTTTGTATGGAAAGAAGTAGGTGGTTGAGAAACAAGGGCTTGTCAACATTATGAAATGATGGTTACCTTTTGGTCCAATTTCTGTTGTAATTCAATAATCTTATTTTCTAAACCTTTGTTAACCTTCTTCACATGGTCTACAGACTTAGCTTCAACCTTGAATCACAAAAAAATACTTAATAATTATCATAAAAACATGAACCATAATAACACTGGCTTGCTAACACCTTATGTTCACACTATCAGTCTAAAACTGAACGTTTCAAATGTTCATAGAATAAACAAGGTATGTTAATCTTTTCACACTGATGTGTTAATCAGAGTAATCTCTCTTTCATTCGAACTCTCTTAGAAATAATTCCAATAAGTAAACAAAGCTCAATTTGAACTCTGACCTCTATGTTAAAACTCTATTGGTTTAAAATTCTTCTGTTCAAGTAAACAGTCAATAATTACTAAACAGACATTTTCCAATGATAAAAGTTGAAACAATTCTTAAAATTTGTCATTGAGGTGGCATAGTGTTCTTATTGAAGTCGGTAAAAAGTGTTTTGATTTCCGCATGATTTTACTCTATGAGAATTTGAAATAGAAAAATATATATCCTCGATCAGTTTTGCCCTTATTTGTACACCCAATGCTGTTGATATTTCATTTTCAAAGGGCAGGCTTGGCAAATGATCAAATTCTTGGAGCTAATAAAATTGTGCAATTTATTTTTCTGATTGTCTGAAATTAAAATAGTCACACTGGTCAATGAATTAAGGAAACAATTGCTTACCTTCAAAATCTTGAGTTTAGTTCGAGCCTTTCGTCTTCTATAATGACTTTGTAACAATATAATGCCCCGTAAAACATGTTTATATCTTCGTTTAGCCAAGAATGTTCGTACGTGTCTCTGTATAATCTTAGCTTTATGGTTTTTAAGGAGAGAGGCATACTTTCTTCTTGCAAAGAGACCTCGTATACAAGCCTACAATAAACAAAAGTAATTAACAAAGTTAATCTTACTAACTTTTCAAATGACTTGTAGTAGAAGCACAAATAAAATTAAGCAATGCCAATTTGGGATACAATCAACAATCTTTCATGAGAATGGCAAAAAATGGGCATTGATTTAAGGCAATGACAGTAAAATGGCTCAGTCGTCTACTTAATGAATTAGTGCTGTGGGTTTCCTTTCCTCCTCAAGAAAAGACAAATTCTGATGACTTAGTCAGTGTGTTAGCTCTATATCTACTTTCACATCAATATTCATTCTGTGACCTAGGGAGTCTATGTCCAATGAAACCTACTATGTCATTAGATATTCACCACTCTGAATTATGTAGAGTCTGAAATAACATTATAATAATTATAAATGAAACTGACCTGTAACACACACATTGTAGTACGTAATTTACTATATTGTTTTCTATCTTTATATCCCTTCCATGTCTTCTGTATAACAGTAGCAGCATGAGTCTGTCTAAGATATTGGGCGTGTCTGAAATAAAGCAACACAATATAAACACTGGTATGAAGTAATCATCATTATCAAGCTCATTTTTTGACATTTTTTGCTTCAAGAATTCAGAAAATATTTTGGGGTCTTGTCTTGCTTTAAAATAAAGATATATCTAATTTTGACTTTAAGGACAAAAATATGTGTGATGATCTCTTTCCTTAAATGCTTTCAGAAATTCAGAATCCAATATGACACGAAGCATTATTAGATGTGTGATAAGTGTAGTTCCTACCTTCTAGCCAATAAACCTCTACCATAACATTGTAATAACAGAGCAGATTTTCTAATTTTACTGTATTTTCTTCTTAATAACCAACCACGAATATGTTTCTGTATCATTATTCCACAAGCTCGTAATTTATCTGATCTCAACTTCTCCAGATAAGCTACTTGTCCAGCACGGAAAAATATCTTTGATTTACCAAATCTATATTTATCTTCATCCTGGTAGAAAAAACAAAAGAATTTTCTATTAATACTAAGTTATTCAGTTTAAAACCACAAATTATTGGAAATATTTCAGTTCAACAGTTTTCCTGGTCACTTCCTATTGTAGAGGAATAGCTCAATTGCTGGAAGTTTGCTGTGCTATTAGGCGGGTTGCAATCACCCTCAAGATAAAAGTACTTCTTATGCCATGGTCAATGCCTCAAGAGTCAGACTTGTGTCCACTTTCTATACCCTATCACCTAAAATAAGCTTGTTTACTTACAACTGAATGTATCCATCAGATGAGATAATAAAACAAATGGTAATATGATAATCAATATCAGTAAAAAATATTCTGTATTCATAAAGTTATTTTGAGCCAAATGTTTTTGGAATGAATTCAGATCATGGACCATTTTTGCCCTAATTATGACAAGAGAAAGCTCAAAGTTATAGCCTAAAACACAAGAAAGAACTTGATACTTACAGCAATAAGATCAGGTAAAATTGATTCACAAGTTTTCCTCATATTGCCTTTAATAATTTGTTTAGTTTTAGCAAGAACTCTATACCTCTGGAAAAACTCTGGATATGTCCACCTTAAAAAATATAAATAAAATATTTCAATGCATTCCAAGCAATTGTCAAAATCAGATTACCTTTTTTAAAAATCCCTTTGACTGATTATACTGCAGAGAGACATATAATTATAAACGTCAAAACATTGGATAATAAAACAGTGAAGTCAGTGATGACTTACCTAGATGGGTAGCCGGCAGCACTAATTCTAATAGTTTCTAAAACACCACAGGCTCTCAGCTGTTCTACTGCTCTCTTCGAATCAAACCTGAAAAACATAAAATTATATAGAGAGTTGGGAGACTCAAGGGAGATAATTTTAGTTTACTACAGTAAATTCAGTCTTACAAACAAGTGGAATTTCTGTACTGACAATAGTTCAATATTTATGTGCCATATCAAAATATAGATAAAATGTTGCCCACCAATGATAGTCAACAAAACAAAGAGTAATTTTGTACAGTACTTAAAAAAACTTACGTAAAAGCACATTTTTCATCATTAGGTTTAATACATCTAATATAATGTGGTGTTGTAGCGTTGAGGGTGGCCATCAACAATGATAAGGAGTCTCTGAATTGAGATCCAACTGTTTTTTTATGTTGTTTACTGCCTGCTTTAGGTTGTTGTTTAATTGGCTTTTCTCTACCTTTTTTACCTTCACCTCCTTCAGAGAAGAGTTCACCAACAAGTTCAATCTAAAAAAAGAATATACCAAAATACAGCAATTGATGCACATGAATGAAGGTGACTTCCCATCTATTGGACCTTTTCATTGATTAAGAGATGCTCCCCCTCGGTGATGACTAAAGAAAACTGTGCTAAAAATATCACCAAGCAAATAAAATGTCACGACAAACTGAATTCATACCTCACTAGCTTTCAATATATTAATTTGTTCTTCTAAAACTGTATCTCTATTTTTCTCCAGAAAACCATCAGCAGTATAGGTGACTTGATCAGCGAAATGTATTATAACAAATGCTGTACGTGACATTCTGGGTTTATTGAAATGTTTTGATTTACCCAAATGTTTATCATATAACTTCTGACACCAGTTACTATCAGAACCTCTCGGCATCTGTTACAAAATAATTAAGAAATGTATAAATGGATTGTACAATAACACAACCCATGTCTGGATGTATAAAATGGAAGAAGAATTCTGATTTCATGGCCAAGGTCTCTGAAAGTTCACCTGGTGTTATCTCGAGAAACAAATAATTCTATTGCTCCAGATAGATTCTACATGATATACATCATATACATTTGGCAGTAATTATACCATTACAGTCTGTGTTATCTTTAGACATAACCTATAGCCAGCATTGATATACACCTTCTTTCCCATTTCCACTGTCTGGGGATCTCTTTTAAGAGAAAAGTGTACAAAATTAAAGCCTCACCTTACACTCTTCATCTAATAAATCTAGAATACCCAGTTTACTTTCTATCAGATCTATACATGGTTGATTATCATAGAAATCTATAAATGACCATTCTATCTGTTCTCTTACATATTCTTCTTGTTCTAGTTTAAACACATGCTACAAATATAGATACAATAATTCAATTTAACTGTAGTTAATAGTCAAAACAATATTATTATCTGATTGAACATGATTATTAATTCCAGGGTAGTGCTTGATTGGTAAGGCCAAACAAAAAGGGTATTGTGACATCCAGTTCTAGTTCAATTCTCTAAGTTTGGGTTATATTGCTTAAGCAATCACTTACCATATTAAATATTTGTTGTAATTTTTCATTGGCATAATTTATACAGAACTGTTCAAAACTATTTATTTCAAATGTTTCAAACCTGCAAAATATTATTTCATATAAAATAACCAAACAATGTTTTAACAATCATGTACAAAAGTATTTAATACTTTATAGAACTGAAACATACATTTTAGCAACCTATTTTAAATTGTTTCGATCACCAATATACCAAAACAATATATTACAATATCAAACATAATAGTTTACAGATTATTTTACCCATATGCCCAGAGATTCAGAGCAGTCAACAAAGTGTAATAGAACGTAAAGTAAATCCTACCCATAAATATCTAGAACACCTATAAATCTGTGTTGTTTACTAGTACTATGTAAAGCTTTGTTTACTTGAGTAACAATCCAGTTAAATAAATTAGAGTATATATGTTTAGCTAGAGCATCTCTTGAATCTTTTGCCTGAAAAATAACAATCATGTAAATCATTATTACATCATGAGTCGGGCAGAGAGATAAAACACAGCATACATTGTACAATGAGGGAAATTTTGCTAGAACAGCAGTATTGGCCTACTCTTTCTCGATTTCCAACTGTTGAGGATTCTTTAACGTGCACATCCTGTAGCACACAGGCCCTAGACAATTGTTTCATTCGAACGACTAGATGCTCTTTCCATGGCAGCCCCTCTAACCTGCAGCAGTGTAAAATAGATATATTATCTGATTGTCAGGAAAGTTCCTTGTAAAACCGTAGTTACCTGACTTTCTGTTAAAGGTTTATTTAAAACTTCATTGACTGTAGTAATTTTTCTGTTACATAACCAAATCTTCATCTGGGATTCTTCTATAGCTAATAATTTACACATCATCTTTAACGATTGATCATTATCCTACAATACAACATCATTTATAGAGAATCCAAACTTTTTAACGTCTAGTCTGTGATGTGAGATATAGCTAAAAGCAGACGTTAACTTGTTGTCAACCAACAAACTGCAACAACTGCTCATCTTCTTTTTAAATTTCCACAAAAAATGAAATTCAAAAAATGAGATTCTGCTTATTTGAAGTTAAATAGTTTTACTGGAACTTACAGGAATTTCACAAGTCTCGCCTTCACCTTCTCGTATACTGACATTACCAAAATGTAAGATAGCTGCTAAGATTTGAAATATAGACATTTGTTGCTGTTCACTCAGACCGAGTATAGACAAAGCTTCACGAGTACTGTTCAAATCTTTAGCATCATCAACATCATTGATCTCTGGAGCACCTCCTTGACTTGTGTAGAAAAAATCGTCAGCATGCTCTGAAATTCAGAAATAAAAAATACATCTTAGCAGACATTTTCCACATTTTACAATCAAGAAAACATAAGATAATATGCAATCTTCTCTTTCATCATTTTAAAAAGTCTGCTCAACTATCTATAGTTTAATAATAGATTAATCAACAAGAGCTAGTGTGGTTCAACAATTTTTGGACTGACTGAATATTCCATAAGTAAATACAATTCTCTATTCATAATGTAGCATAGAAATCACTATGTCGAAGGCATAACAATAATGAGAATAAAACATAGAACATACGTAATTCCATCTTTTTGAATTCTGGTATATGAGCAGAGGCACACATCTGATAAAATATATGGTAATTTCTCTCATCTTGAGCTTGAAACACAACTCTAGAATATAATAATAACAATATATATAATGACAATATATCATGATAACAAGAAGTATAATAATAACAAGGATTATAATAACAACAAGGATTATAATAACAACAAGGATTATAATAACAACAAGTATATTAATAACAAGAAATAATAATAACATTGCTAATGTTGTAATAAACACAAAAAGTTTGACTTGTACAATTACTATATATCTAATTACTATATATTCTACCTCAAATTAAAAAAAAACATTTTGTATTTTTGTATAGACTGATCCTATGATGTTCATAAATATATTTTTGGTTAAATATGATATACGATGATTTAGAAATATTAACTATCAAAAACAAACGAATAGGCAAATGTAAAGAAAAAATGTTGAGAACAAGTGTTCTCCTTTCATTAACAAACAAAAACAAATTGGCTGCTAAACAACTACATGAGTAAACAAAAGTAAACAAAGCATCAGTTGTTTACAAATTAACAGATAATCCTCTATTGATGACAACTATCTTGTTAAAAAGACTTCCTTACAGCTGAAATATGTAACAAACAGACGACTGTTAAGACCTGTCAACATCAGACCACAAGATAAGATTTACTACTTTGAGAGTCAAAAGAAAACTTAATGATGGGAAAGGACATGATAACTGTCTCTATAAGTTCTATTATTTCTGTACATCAATTCACAAGACCATGGGAATAATATTAACAGGATTTAGTTGTACAATTATGTCCATAACAAGCTGATGTCATTACAGTTTAATTAACCCTTTAAACACTAAGTGTTGATAAAATTAAACTTCTTTTTACTAAAAAGTTGAAGTGTATGCCTGTTTATATTAGGTGACGTTACTTGGTAACAGCTCTCTAGATATCAAATCACATAATTATGTGACTGGTAGAAGGTTCACTAGTGTTGAAAGGGTTAATAAATTTCAGGTGTCAGAAACAACCATTCAACAAAAACAGACTATATAAAGACAGATGAATTATTACCATATTAAAATGAACATACCGTGATTTTTCCAACAGATATGTTCTCATATTAGCACCAATAATAGAATTTGATCTGCTAAAACCTAGTTCTATATATTTACCAAACCTACTACTGTTATCATTTCTGGTAGTTTTAGCATTTCCGATGGCCTAAAATAACATAAATGTTTAATATTTAAATAACTGAAATAAACACAAACAAGAGTCCTTTCCTAGAACCCTTCTTATTTAACTCGATGAAGTTAAAAACTGGTAAAAAAAAATGTTATTATCACTTGCTATAATAAGCCCCAGTTTGACAAGCCTGTTGTAAGGGTAAAAAACTGTGCATTATATACACAAATATACAGTATATAAAACTCACCTCCATAATAGGATTAGATGCCAGCACCTTTTTCTCAACTTGTGTTTCAGTTTGGGACCCGCCCACTGTAGCGAAATATCGCATGGCATATTTAGCTGAGACAGTTTTACCAGCACCACTTTCACCAGATACAATAATAGACTGATTCCTCTCAAACCTTCAACAAATTATCATTAACTATCAAACTATGCCTCACAAAATAATCATTAATATAAGTATATGGATTTTGAAAACTTACATTCTTAGTTGTAGCCAGTCTTATTCCAGTCTGATTATTGTTGCTAAGTGTTAAGTCTAGAAAGCCACAAAAAAAGACAACCTTATCCTTAAACTCATGTCGCAGTGGAATGGCTCACTCAGTAGGATTGTTATCTGCTTGCTAGTGGCGATAAGGTGCAGAGGGTTTGCATCTTTCATTAGGCAAAAAAAAAGTCTGATGCAATGGCCAGTGCTTCTGAGAGTCTGGCCCGGCATCACCCACTACCTTTAATACATATAATGGCTTTCCACTTTCATATTTAAATATTTATTTATATTCTTATGATTTTGAATACTAACTCACCGAGACATTTGTTTAAAAGCCTCTTCAGCAACAGCAAAGATATGAGGGTCCATAGCCCCCATATCCTGTCCACTGTAGGCATGTATAATATCATTACTGTAGATATCAAGTTGTTCATAAGGATTAATAGCCACTAACACAATACCTACAATATGAAATATCCAATTGATGTAAATTGTCTATTTAAGTCACAAACAAGTTTCTCCATCAATATCATCTCAGAAATTGAAAATTTGAGATGCAATAGACAATTAAAACTTCTAAAACACTACAGAAGCAGAAAGTTTGACGACGAACAATCAACATCTCTTAGTAAGGCTTCATGTATGATCAACAAATTATAAACTGTAAGCCCATTTACTTTGAGAAGCATTATGAATAGGGAGAAAAAATTAGTGACACGTTTTTTAAGAATTAAGACTAACATTCAAAGTTTACTTACCACAATAAGTATAAATAAGATTAGACTCTAAAAACCTCACTCGTAAATTATATAATACTGAAAATATAACAATATATAATATATCATATAAAATAATAATTCATCTTTCATGTTGTAATCTTTCTTCATGGTCAAATCTAATCACAGTTATTGTATAATTTTATAGAAACAAATTTTGTAAACATCCCAAAAATACAGGACCATAAATTGTGTAGAGGCAGCTGCCTTCTCTATTCTGGCCAAGAATGATACATGATTTGACAAAATTAGAGATTATGCAAGCTAGAATCCTAGATCACTGCCTGAAATTCTGCCACCTTATACTTATTTACAGACTTAAAACATAAAAATATTTGGGATGCCATACCTTCAGGTTCATTTAAATAACTAAGTGAGGTTAAATCATTTTCACCAATTAAAATATCTGGATTCCTTAGATGTGGTAAATTATTCTTATCTATGTCTAATGTTGATTCCTACAGAAATAATTTCACATTTGTAGATGAAAGTTCTCAGGAAAATGTAATATTTGGAATACAATTTGAACTTTGATATTTTTTTTTTAAATAGTTACAACAGAGTTAAGTTGGTAAAGAATTAGTGATAACTTTCTAGTCTAATAATATAATACATGTATTCTAATGAAAATGCTGTGTAAGCAAAGTAGAACCCTTTCATCATAAAATTTAACAGCCACCTAATGGCTGTGTCAATTATTCAAACATAATCTATAAGAAGAATATCTCTATAGTCTATACTGTGATCTTGCATATTCTGACATCAATATCATTTTATTTCTCTTCCCACACATCTGGTCAATATCAACTGAGTAGATACACTAACCAATAACACAATGATATAGTCATCTTTATGTAACTATTTCACTAAGATACTACAGCACAATTTAATCAATATTCAAAGCTAAAATTGAGATCCAAAGACTGATGATAATTTTTTTTTAAAACAGGGAATTGGCCATCATTATTTATTTAGCTTCTTATCAAACCTAATATTTCATGATCGAACTTGGCACAATGTTAGTAAAATATGAACTAAAATCATTACATTAGTATTAAAAATCTTCATGCAAAAACAGCAAAATAAAAACTTAACAATAACAATCATTCTTTCAATCAACATTAAAACAATTCATGCCTTAAAACAGGGATTTAAAATTGTCCTTCAAATGAACAGTAAAGTAACACATTGAACCCAACTGTGAACATACATACTGTAACAGGAGGTTTATTGGCATATGTTACAGAACATATTGATGGTTTATATTTTGGTGACCTCATCTAAAGTATAATGGAATAGACCTTAGTTATCAGAAATATCATGGTATCAGAAGTAAAGAGGGCATGATACAAGAACAGCAGGAATCGAGAAATAAGATAAAGTCTTAGTATCATTTGCCTAACTGTTTATCACTTTTCTGTGCTATATAATTTCTGAAATAAATCAATCTAACTACTGCTATGATACTTTATGTAATGAACCCACAAAAGATTTTTTATTGAAAGGGTTTAGAATTAGCTAATAAGGCAAATAATCATTTCCCCCTAACAGTTAACAAAGATTCAGAAGACAGGTATAGAATTCAGAGAAACATTTCACTTATTGCCCTGTTACATCTTTAATAAATTACAACTTATAAGAGTCTAATTCTGAGTCTAAAATTCATAAATGTATCTTGATAAGATAAGGCAGAGGAGGTCCTTTCTCTTATAGCCTTCATATATCGAGGAAGACTTAGTAAAACCCTCGTCACTCTACAAGAACTTAAATTCAGGCTAGGCAATTTATCCAATATTTTGACGACAAAGGCTAATATGAGATGGGAATGAATCCCTCTAAGAGTAGATCTCTAGAATGATGCTCAGCTATCATTAAACCCAATTAATATTAATAAAAAACTGATGATCACTAATTTTCAAATAAATGCCACTTATTATTCTATTAATAACAATTGCAAAGTTCTAATTACAAAAATGACAAGATGCTGAAATGAAATAGTTAATAATGATTTCACAGCAAACATATTAATCAAACAATTCACTCTAACAGACAGGACCAATAGCTAGAACTAAGATGGGAGAGAGAAAATGGGGAGTTGCAGGGAGAAATTAATATCAAATTTCATTCAATTTTCCTAGTTTAAAATGGTCTAGTACCAGCAATAATATTGCAAAACTCCTTAGAGGTTCTACAAGACTATAAAATCTTTTCTTGTATTGTGGAATTCAGGAATATAATTGGATTGTACACCAGTAAATACATTCAATCAGGGCCCTTTCAGATTTATATTTTGCTATATTTTGTAGCGTTTGATCCAATCAAATCACATAAGTTGATACAAGAAAAGAGCCCAATTAATAATATCAGATAAGAGCTTCAAAAAGCTCAAATATGAATTGGTTGCAATTTTTACAAAAATTGAGCCTATTGAACAGTTTTTGCCTGTGTCATAGACTGGATCACCAACTAACGGGGTTCGAATAATAAAGGTGCAATATTACAGCCGTCTAGAGAGCCTATGATAATATTCAAAATCTAATCTAATCAGTCCAATATTATAATTATATATAGTAGCCTAGAAATGATATACCATGCTTATCATTCTACTTACTTTCCAATATTCCTAAAACACACAAATATTACATTTCATTCATTTTGAATTTCAGCTATCTGTTTAAAGGTGCCCTCACACCTGTTAATTGCGAATAATGAAAGTGGCCATGAGTTCCGAACTCAACTTACAATTCAGTTGCATGAGAGTTGTGTTCGCACATTTGACCGCTATTCTTATTCGTAGGTATACGTAACTGGTGATCGCTATGGAGTTACGGCCCCTTAACCCTTTACCTCATAATAACCAGCATTCATAACCTATCTTTATTATTTGGGAATAAAAGTAAGCTAACATGTACATCCCAGTGTTTTATTTAGTCATGAGCAGGGATGGTATACATTCAACCAACTGCTAGAGCCAAGTTAACCTATTCATAACACCATTTTGGAAATTTGCATGTAGGAGATTAATTCTGTAATGTGATACCAGCAAGTAAAGCGAACATTTTCATTTTGTTTCATAGATGTCTGGCTCTGATTACATTACTAATACTCATGACAATTAAAATTTAAAGCATTTGTTGTGAGACAAACCACAGCAAAACACAAAAGCAAATCAATGAAGTTCAGACAACAGTTTCCTTATAAGTCATTTATCACAAATCTTGATTTAAACATCATGTAAATCTATTCTTTTTCAGTAACATTTGATCTTGAGATTTTTATGAAACAGAGTACTGCTCTGGGAGCAATGGAGATTCAAAATTCCAAGGAATATTTTAAAAGGTTCAGATGGTTTAAAAATAACAATAGGGACTGGCAGAGGAACTAAGAGAAGTAATACCATACCTCAGCCTCTTCATATTTTATAGCTGTTGTTTTCTGTCCTGTATAGTCTTCTAATAATTCTGCTGCTCTCCATACATTTTCAACATCAGGAATCCAGATTCGAGCCCCCTACAAATAGAAAAATAGAAAGATAATTCCTTACTTTCTGCTCTTTTAAATCTAACTTGCTTGATTGGTACAGTAAACTTCACAGCAGCTTAACATTATGTAATAACTTTAAGTATTTATTGAAAATTGAATGGCTGTGGCCTTCTTGTTCTTGACTTTGATGCTTTTTTTGGCCCTCAAAATTGTAAAAACAGATTGGAACTTCACTGATACTTCTGACAAGATTTAATTGGATTTATCTTAATTTGCTCATTTGCAAGATGATTGGGTTTTCAGTAAGCATTTATCTTCCTTCAAAAAAGGAAACTGATCTCATGACATTTTAATTGGCTCTTAAGATACAGGTTAACTAATCAAATATAATTAAATAAACATCAGTAGAAAATACAATAGTTTTTATCATCAACAGTAGAATAGAAGGATGAATAGATATAGTATAAACTCCTACTAGTCTCCTCCGAACTGCAATCCAAGCATCTCTATATAAACATTGATTTCCAATAATTGTGTTATCTGTCAAATTGGACGTAAACCTAACAATTCCCTTCACTCACTCCACAGTGTAGTTTGATCTCAATCTTTAGTCACTGTCTATTTATCTTCCCAGAATGATTCTAATATTGTATTGTCTACAATCTACTTTGAATTAATTTTATTAAAAATTGGGTTACAATTTTCTTTCTCTTTTGTTTTCTAATATATTTCTTCTCCATTGTGATCTAATGTTGTACTAAAACATGTTAGACTATAATGGAGACAAAAACATATCAAAAAACCAAAAAGAAAACAAAATTGTGATCTTAATTCAATTAGATAGTCTAGGAATATAATTTCAATAATATTTATCCCCTAATAAATATTTGTTGCCAAGCTTTATTGAATTTTCGTCTTTCTTAGAGATCTGCAAAACATAGCCATTGACACTGTCATTTTAACTCAGGAAAGTACAACCACAATAAACATAAAACACAAAATATCTGTATATAGGCTAGAAATGGAAACAGGAATTATCGCAGTAGCTTATCTGTATACTTTTTACATCCAATACTTTGCCAAGGATGGTTTTATAACACTTGCAAACTGATTTCAGTCAATGGAAGAAACTGTTTATCTCAAATCAAATAGATATAGAACAACTTCAATAACATGCAAAACAAATTTGATGGAAAGAAAAATCTACCTCAACATATCTATCCTCAGTTTCTATATTCCTTAAAACATACTGTAACTGAAATCTGGAATATGGACTATCAATTTCTAGAACAGTAGTCCTTGTTTTTGGTTTAGTTCTGGTTGGTGACACAGGTGGAGAAGAACCACCCCAAAATTTTAAAATCTTATCCATATGGAATGCAATGTCACAAAACCCTAGCCGCCATCTTGGCTGAATAATGAGGAAAGGGTTGTATATTTAATAGTTATAATATTATAAAATGTCAACCATACAATATCAGGCCAATTTTCTCATTAACAGCATATAATTGGCTCTGAATAACCAGTCAGAAATTTCAACCATTTGTGATGGCTGCCATATACATGGTCATACTTGAATTTATATTGTGATTTATACTGGATGGAAGTTTATGATTTATGTCTTATACAAAGGTGAGTATATTATTAGATACTTAGAATCTTTTTTCCCAATATTTCTATTCAGGAATACTGTTTTGGTTTCAGAAGAAACATGGGGATAAGCCATATGCTGATCAAGGCACAGAACAAAATAGATCTAAACTTCAACACACATATTATTTAGTAAAAAAAACTAATGCCTTGGTCAATAGATCAAAACAATCTGGAAAATCAACACCTATTGGGGACTAAAAAATATTTATGTGAGATAAATATGGGCATTGACATACAGTATATCTATTCTATATTCAAGTATTTTAATTGGTGACCATTGTTGACCTACACTAATGGGCGTTGGCTATATACCTCACATTTCTTACTACTGTAAACTCAAGGTGCACATTTTCTCTTACAATAAAGATTTTTTCAAGCGTGTTTTCAGCCACATTTAGTTCAGTGAAAAGAAACCACTTAGAAACTGTTCCAGAATTTAATTTTTCTTTATATTTTGATGTCAGAAATACTTATTAAATTAATTCAAACTTAAAGCACATGAAAATATAGATACTTTATAGGAATTATGTCTATGCTTTTGACCTTCAAATCCATGTGCGGCTAGAATTATCCCCTTTGTAAAGTTAACATGATGACTTGTCTTTTCTTGAGACTATGCCTTATATATAGAAATGCATATATAGAAAGTGAAATAACACGTTTGAGGTAGATTTGAAGAAATTATACAATTTTCGTGCTGTTCTAGTATTTCTGAAGACGTTCTAGTATTTCTGAAGACTATCTATTAATATTCCCAAATCAACCCAAGAAAATCGTGATGTGTCCCTTTAACATTGGCTGTTTAGAAGATGAAATATCCTCAAATAAAAGAAGGAGTGTGCCTATACCATCAATCTTGAAATGTTCATTTAATTTTCTAATTCCTTATAGTTCTAAAAGTTTAACATCTACTCAAACCCATTATACTGAAATAAGACAACAATTTATATACAAGTTATTCTCAATAATAGATATCAGAATGAAACAAACAAAATTTCATAAACAAATAAACCTGCTTTCTGCCACACCTTAAAAGTGTTGACAAAGAAAAACTGAGGTTTGTGTAAACCAAACAATTGTATCAACGAATTTGTAGCATTGGGAAAACAGTTGACACTCAAATCAAACTCTAGTATTGTTCTAAGCCTCTTATTTTGTTCAATTTGATTTGTAGTTTTGAGTGTTACAGAAGCACTGGCCAAGGTCAACATATGTTGTCTGGTTATCCATGGAATCATCAACAACGGAACAATTATCATTCTATTTCATGAGGAAAGAAAGAGAATAACCTATGCAAAACACCAAGAAAAACTTAAAGCACCCTTTTATTGTAAAAACTTGTTAAATAATTAAGAACAGGTGAAGGTCAGAAGGTGACTAGTTTATCTATTCCAATTATTTATATTAGGGTATTGGATGCTTATCAATATATCAACTATTCATAAATTAATAGTAGCCTAATCCTATTTACAATCAATAAACAGGTCACATGAATCATACCCCAAAATAAGGCTGTACAGTTGATAATATTATGGGAAAAAATGTCATCTATTCAAATAATATGTCACATACAGATGAGTTGACACCCTTGTAATACAAATAGTTTTCATATCTTCAATGTAAGTTTTTAACTGTAACACACTTTAAATCGAATGACTGCATACCGATGCAAAATATGCTTAAGTACAATCATATCCAGATGTCAATTTGTGATATATATTATTATTGTTTTGCTCTTTCTTGAGGCTGTCAATTTCTACTGAGCTAATTAACTCGGACATACTAAGCTGACTGACTCTTCAACTTGAAAATTCCAGTGTAAATAGAGGCTTTGATACAATAATCTCTGACCAACCCTGACAAATATAGGACACACTTGGATTCAACTTGTAAACTAGGACTCAATATGGGAAAATGTTTCATCTTTGAGGATTTTCTTAATTCTAAACTCTCCTGCAACTGACACTAAGTCCTTAAAGATCAATGGGCATAACAGTCATATATATCAGATATTAAAACATTGACTATAGAACAGTTTTGTTATTTGTATGTCAAGAACAACAGACTAATAATATATCATTCTATATGACAAGAGCTCATCCAATGTCATCGATTTTTTTTTAATTTTCAACACTAAAAAGTAATCATGTCTTGAGTAGACTATTTTAAAATGTGAACAATTTCAGTTTGTAAACATGTTAATACTCATTAAGAACTTATACCGAAAAAAATCTATTTAGCATCTTTCAAAAAATGTATGTCATTAAAAAGCCTAGGTGTAGATTTTTAGTATTCCCAGAGTAAGAGTAAGTTATACAAGTGGTCTATTGTCATTGATCCCAACTCAAGGTGTCAACAATTTCATTAAGTAAATATAGTTAGTCTGTGTTCTATTGACTTTATTTTAGTCTACATTATCTACCAACATCTACTTTCTTCTTCCATTCCAATTTGTGACTAATTGGTAAATCGAAGGAAAGATGGTACCAAGGAAATAAGAAATGTGTTGAGGTAATGACCCAATAAAAAGTTCCAAATAAAAAAAATACTAAGTCATAAAAGAAAAATCCTGACTGTGCTTCTGAAATGTCCGCTTTAACCAGGTAATACAAAATGGCATAATCAGAATAGAATTACAAGAGAGTAGAGAGAATTAGAAGTAATCCATTATGAAAAATACAGCCTTAGTATGAACTTCTCAGAATAATTGTGATCAAATACAAGCTTATTAGTATTAATTAGATTACTGTTGATTATCCTAATACAATCTTTGATCTAATGACACATTAATTAATTCATTCAGTTTATATCAATTAAATAACTTGACCCAAGATTTGAACCATGTTGGCTAACACTCTCTTACACTTTTACTAATTAAGCCTCTTATCATTTAGAGTTCATTATCCTATAACATTTCATAAATATTTCTTTATCTTACACCTCATAACTAATCAAAAAAATTTATTTTGCCTTTTTTCTGAGGTCTCCACATTTGTATATGATTTGTGTCTCCATTTAAAATTCATACAGACAGAATACTATAATATTATCTAATGTCAAGCTTTTGAAATGCTTTTGCATTAATATGTGAAGTGAAGGTTATACAAGTTTCAAGTCAATTTTGACATTTAAAACCTAGCCTACTTGTCAGTCCTGTGATATATCTGATACATATCATCATCATCATATGAAATATTTCATTTATTGGTGCAAAATTTTTCTTAATGTTGAAGATAGACTGCTGCATAAATTTTGTGACTGACACTTTTTTTTGATAAATTTATTCAAAAGAATGAATTACTGTTTGTATGTATACAAATAAGTTTAAATATAATAGCCTATAGGTCTACAACATTGTCTCCTTCTATTTTTATATCAACTTCCTTCACATTGTTTATATTTGAATACCATCACTTATATATGAAGCAATAATCTATATACTAGAAAGTTGCTTTTTGTCCCAAAAATTCTAAATTCCATAATTATGCTTGAACTACATAAGCAAATATTTTGTTCTATTTATTTTCTATGCTGGTGACTTCATAGTTAATAGTGCTCAGACTCTTCTGAGGAATACCCCCCCACCTCCTGTGAAAAATGGGGCAAGCTATTATAATCACCAATAAGTTATCTAAAAAATAAGAGAGTCTGCATTTTACATTTTCGAGAAGTTTTCATGCAATGACATGAATTATGACTAAACAGAAAAACATCAACATATTTTTGGCCATGTCTAAGCTATGAATATTAATTTGGGATTATATTACAGGATTGGTGTGACTTCTAATTAAAATCTAATCATCAGTTACAAGTAATCTAATCAACAGGTGATTGGTGATGACTGTCAAGTTCAATGAACACTTCCCTTTCATTGACACAACACAAACAAAACAAACCGATCACAAAATCAACACAAAACTCACCTTCGTGTATAATTCCTTCGTCGACATGATGACCAATTAAAATTTCTAAAGTGTATACACCTATACTTCCCTATTGAGTTAACACGTTTTTGTTGTTCAACGAAGATCCATATCCTAATTAATCAACTTTCAGTCACAAACGCTTCACAGGAAAATTTCATCGCGGCCATTTTCGAAGTGACTATTTCCGCCCACCTTTCCACTATTAAAGGGAGGCAACTGTCCAGGTGAAAATGAATAAGGGGAAAGTGGGGAAGATTTATAATCTCTCACGGACATTACAAAAACTTTTACTTTTCTCATGAATATGTTTTAATATAAGCAATTTGACTACTTCGAATGTGCTAGGCTAGTTGACTGGCCTTGTTGGAGCAGTTGGGCCTTAGTTAGGAACATCTTGACCAGAGTTCCCTTGTAACTACGTAATAGCAAACCTATGACATACATTCATTGAATAGCATCCCCTCAATGAATTAAATCGAATTCTATGCTATGATTTCCAAACCAGAGACTCACAACAATGTATTTTTAGATTTTGTAAACCTTTGGTCCAACGGCAGGCTAAATGTCCCAATTTTCCCTACTTCTAAACTTTGGGTCTTGTCAAACGAGACTAACGCCTCCTAAGGAAAGATAACTCATTTATAAGTAAACAGCGATGTCTTCAATTAATATTATTCAAAGGTAATATTGTTATTTAAGCTTTTATAAATAGAGCCTAAAAATTGGACAAGTGGGAAAAGGTCCCATTTATTAAGCTCGGATAAAATTAATCCAATTTCAAAAGACGTTATAGATTATTAATGGTGTTTAAACCTACTAAGGTCTTTACTAATGGTCGAATGGTGTGTGAGTCAGACCAAAATTACTTCTTTCATCTGCTAAGAACTGCTAATATCATGTTTAGGTTTTTATTAATTCAATCAAAGGATTTGATTTAAGTAACAAAAATGTATATGGTCTACTAATTAATAATTGAGTACTGGTAACAGTAACTAAATAGGCTCTCACTTTGTAGACCTTTCCTAGGCCAAGTAGTAACACTGTCTCATTCCGAGCATTTGAGTAATTGTACAACAGCACAACTTTAAGTTAAATAGGTTGAGATCTAGGCTGCTATCTCTTAGAATTAACAGAAAATTTAAATTCTCAAACTCTGCCAAAGGAGTCAATATTCATTTGGGGACTTACCTGGTGTGATAACTATACAGGTACAACATTACCCTTTATAATCCTTAGACTTACCCATCCATGTTTATCATTCTATTTCAGACCATGTAGTGAAGATTCATCGTATGAAACAATAGATATATTACCAGACATTGCCTCATCACCTTCTATCAAATTAACAGATGATACCCCAGTCAGTAACAGAACAGAACCATTAACAGGAGAAGAATTTCAAAGTTTCTTAGATCAAGATGGTAGACTAGTCAATGAAATTGGGTTGAGAAAGGCAATATTCTTAGGTAACTGAAATTATAATCTTGAGTTCTAACGTTCAATTATGAAAAGTTAACCGTGGAATTGATACTGCTCTGGGATTTAATTTTTCAAATGGTGTTCCAGTGAGAAATAAAAGGTTTATGTTTCAGTAAAAGGAACATTTTTTTGTATTTGAAATCTTTTTGTTGAATTTCAGGAAGTGTTGACTCAAGTATAAGAAAGCAAGTATGGCAGTTTTTGTTTGGGTTATATCCTTGCACATCTACAAAAAGGTATGTAAATGTTTTTTGACCCAATTTTTTGTATTAATTTCCAAAATTAACGTTTAAATTTTGAAAATAAATTGACTATTGTGGACTGAAATTTCATTGATAAAGTAATTGATTTTGAAAATATTTTTTATGCAGAGAAAGAGATGCTTTGTTAATAGATTATATAATAAAATATCATGAATTGAAAAATAGATGGAAGACAATGTTAGTTATTGATTCCAAACCTGGTGGTAAGTATTCTGTATTGCCATGTTTTAATCTTGTGTTTGAACAAACCAATGCATAGCAGCAACATTTTTTATTTGAGAATATAGCTAATCAATATTCTGTTCTAAAATTTGTTTTATAATCATTCCATTTTTTAAGTCCAACTTCTGTGGTTTTTGCATTTGTCTGTTAAATGTTTAATTTTAGTGGAATTTCGGTTCTACATAATTGATATGTCTCAAATTGATGCTATCAGTGTCCCAAAAACACATTAAAAACTTAAAAACCTCTTTATAATCCCTTTAATTCATAATTATTTCAGCTTCCTTAATAGATCAGCTATTAGTATCTACTTACCAGTTACCTGATACAGCTGAATCAGCTCAGTCTGTCAACAATGACCCTGAGTCTACTGGTGATTTCTTATCTAGTAGTAAAATAGATACAGAGATAAAAACTAAATATACCCCTAGACCACTAGATCTTTCACTATTAGACCAAACAAATATATCAGAACATATAAATACACCTGATATGGAACAGAAAATAGAATTTATGAAAATTCAAGCTCAAGTAAGTACCAGGTTTTTTTCCCATTTGCACAAAGAATCTTAGAAGTGTATTACTATATCCACTCTGTGATGTTACGTTGTTTGTTTTTTTTGTTGAAAATAAGAAAAGTATGCCTCCAGAATTCTGTAGGTATAAAAGTAAAAGCAAAAGTTTTTTAATCATATGTCACTCTGATTTTGGCAATAAAATTTATAATTTAACAGGTATATGTTCAAAGACAAAGACTAGATATAGAAGAATTAAAAAATCAGATAAGAGTTATAGATAAAGATGTACCTAGAACAGATAGAGATGAGGAATTTTTCAGGTAATTTTTTTTGTCTTTCTTGCTCTTGTTATTTTGAATTGTTAAGGCATTAGATTTGACTTAAATATGGACATGCCTTGCCTGAATTGTCATACCTACGACAGTATTGGGTATGGTGAAGTCACTATTATTGGTGGCAATAATTGACTATCCTTACTATTTATTTCTTACCTTATTTTTTTCAGGGGTGCTGGTAATCCTAGATTAACTGAGTTAAGAGAAATATTAATAACATTTGCTGGTTTTAGTCCGGATTTAGGATATGCTCAAGGAATGAATGACATTTTAGCTAGATTTCTGTATGTAATGGGATCAGAGGTATGGATTATATTTATGAGTGTAGTCACTTTTAAGGACTTCTAATGAGGAATTGTGTCCCCTTCAAGATAGGGTATATTAGATATATGTCTAAGTTGTACAAATGTCCCCATTTTACCCTAACTGGATTAATGAAGATATGTTCTATTTTTTCAACTCCCTCTTATCCTCCTCAGTACTGTTGGCAATTTAGTGAAGTTCTTGTTTTGGAAAAGTCTCGTGTGTTTCAAAAATGAAGAATTTTTGGTTTTGTACATGATGGGACGATTTTTCTTAATTGAAAGGATGGAAACGAGTAGTCTTTTGATTTATATAATATCTGCTTACAGGTGGAGACTTTCTGGTGTTTTTATCATTATATGGAAAAGATAAAAGAAGATTTTATGGAAGTTGGGATGGTCAAAAAAATTGGTTTGTAAATTTTATTTCACCTTTCTTTTCATTTAGAGAAGACATGATTTAATTATGACAAGATGCAAGTCTAAAGAAAAAGAATTATTAGTTGACAAGTCTTATTAAAGCCTGAAACGAGACGTTTACAAAAGATTATGGTTTAACAAATTCTCAAAACCTTTACTTTCAGAACTAGTAAAGATGTTATTAGGAGAAATTGATAATTCTTTACTACATCATTTTGAGTGTCATGACATGGGTAATTTATTTTTCTGTCACAGGTGAGCAGACTTCTATATATTTAACTCCAACTGATCTGAAGCTTTGCACCAAGGAAAATGTTGGAGCTAGTGTCATCGTGGCATTGATTGGACACATCAGTGACGTCATTTTGGTTCCTAGTTCTCAACGCTAAATAGACTCCCTCTGCCCAATCCTGTGATCAAAATTCTGACTGCAAGATTTGGTTAGTGAAGCAATAACCGAATACAACTTTTACTTTTAATGTTTCCGATATGCTTTCACCAAATTTTCAAGGGATTTTCTCACTCACCTAACAGACAACCATATTTATATAATTTACTTTATTTTTCAGATGGTTGTTATTGGGCTTTAAAAGAGAATTTACATTCCAAGATTCATTAAAATGTTTTGAAATTTTAAGTAGTCAACATTTAGAGCTCTCCTCAATGGAGGCTGAAACAGCTGTCAGGAGAGAAGAAATGAAAGAATTTGCAAATACAGGTGATTTAGTTTTGTATTTATTTTTTTGGTTGTCCTTTCTCAAATTGTTTTGATTAATTCTGTTTTTATTGTCCTTCAAAAGAACATTTAAGACCTCAAATTTCAAGTCATTCTGTGTTCTGAATTTCTGCAATATCAAACAAATTTGTGTACTTAGTACTTTGTACTTGGAATGGTCTGTTTTCTTATAGGCGGTGATACGCGAACCATTCCACTAGAACCAAAAGAATATACATTTGAAGTTTTTATGTGTGTGGCCTTATTAATAGAATTAAGAGATGAATTGTTTAAATGTTCTGATATTGGAATGGTTTTTACCTGTATAAATAAGTAAGTGTCAAGTTAAGTCATCAAAAAATATTCTCTTATAAACAACATGTAATATTCCAAGATGGAAATATGTAAAGATATATTGCCATTGATTCTATGACTTGTGTACACGACAAATTGAGCTGAATCAACAGACCTGTTCAGTGTCAATGGATCCCCATCTGTCTTAAACAATACATAAGCTTCTAACAACAGTGTAGTAATACAGTTATTTTTCTTTTCAGCCTAAAGATGGATTTAGAAGTTATTTTAACAATTTCTGAACGTTTATTTTTTACCTATTGTAAAAAGACAGTTGAAGACAGTTTTCATATGGTTGACAACTCTCCTGAACATAGTAAAAAGAAATTGCCTTCAAAATTTTTAGACAGAATTACAGGGTTAAACAGCTGATAGTGCTTATGTTCAGATTTAGTGGTTGCATCACTTCTGATGAAATTTAACATTTGGAAAATTGCAATTTGGTTATAACTATTTCTTGTGTAAGATTTATTTTATTTGACTAAGAATGTCATATTAAACCTGGTAAAATGAAAGATATACTATATATAATGTATATTCTAATATATCCCTTTAAAACATTGTGTTGAAATCCAATCTAAAATGGTAATTAAAATATTACTATGGTTATATGTATTGTGAAATATAAGTTTATGCAACAGCTCAATTTGAGATTATCAGATGAAAAGAGAAGTGATAGAAGTCTATATGGATGTAAAAGTGTAATCTAAAAGTGTCTAATCAAACTCAAATGTTATAAAGTTTTGAAATGTTATATGTTAAATGTTATTTTTGTACTTATAGTGCCAAACATTGTATAAAGTCAAATTTTAAATTCTATAATAAATGAATTAAAAATGCAATCATTTCCTTTCTTTCACAATATATACATGTAAGTCTATGTTATATGGTTATATATGCTGGTAATGTGGTTCAGGCTTCAATCCCAACATGAGGAGAAGTTATTACCCAACCTGGTTTCCTCTAGTCTGACATGAAAAAATGCCTTGTCATGTGTATGGGACTATAAACTGATGCCCTGCGTACAACAGACTGTACATTCACTATAAAATAAATGTTTCATGATTTATGTTCACCAAGGCTCCTTTTTCCAATCCTCAATTAAAAAAATCTCAAGGTAAAAGTTTGTCTGACACTTTATATGAGAAAAATGACACTCATAAAAATTGTGTGACATGGAATTTGGAGGAAGCATTCAATTTACTAAAAATAATATAGACAGATTTCATGATAAAATGTATATACAAGATGATGAAGTGGGTATGAGATATTATTAAGTAGCAATAGGACAATTATATACATGTAAAGCTCTATCATCTGATACAGACACTACTCTGGTTCCAGATCCATTATACTTCGCACTCCAAACCTGTAATTAAATAAGAACAACTTAAGCAACAAAGTTTGCAGGCAATATTATGATCAGACAGGGAAAATGACACTCAATGGGTTTGAATGGGTGTGCATTATATTCACAATTATACAGTATCAACTGACCACTACTGTGATATGATATTGTACAAAATATTGAAAAAATAATAAAGTAATATTAAATAACTACCTGATCTGTATGTTCGTAAAAGGTGTGAACACACTGTCTGGTTCCTGCATTCCATATTTTCACTGTTTTATCTGAGGATCTGTAACATAGTCAAGAAAATATAGAACAATATCATGAATGATGTGGACCAGAGACATGAAAGAACACAACTTAAGTCTTGTTCTTGACTGGCAATACATGGAAAATAGAATCTTTTCTTAATAATCATATAACCGCAGTTGCCTATAAAAATCGTTTAAGCAAGTCTTCAACTCACCCTGATATAAAATGTGTATTGTCAGGGCTAAAAGCTGTACTTAACACCCAGGAACCATGTCCTGATACAGTACCAGCTAAATTAGCATGTTCTCTGAAATATATAATTAGTTACATCAATTAATGAATGGACTAATCAAGATAATAGTGTGTCAATAGCACACATCAGTGTTATCATACTATCTTTGGGATAAATCAGGATTTATTTCCACCTTGGAGAGGATGGAGCCAAAGGACAACAAATTTTATCGAAAGAAATTAAAGTTCAGTCTAATATAAACTGTTATCGATGTGTGAAAACCCATGAAATATACAAGTAATACTTACACATCATATATTTTAATTTGACCATCATCAGAACCAGTGACTAATAATTGAGAATCAGGTGAAAAACAGATTGATCTTATAGCCATAGCATGACCTGAAAAATACAGAATTAACAATATTTAGTCTCACAAATCGCACATATAATTGTTAAACACTGTTTCATGCAAACAAAACCTAAATGGGCATCATATCAGTTATGTGATTATATTGCATTGTTCATTTTTAAGGCTACAAAGAATCAGTATAAAGCTCAAATTCTGTATTCAAAATTGATAAAATGAATGAATAGAAATATGCAAAAAATACTACCTTCTAAAGTGTGTATTAATTTTCCTGTGGTCATATCAAACACATTAACAATTCCATCTAAGGCACCAGACGCAATATATTTTCCATTTGGACTCTGAAAAACAGAACATTTAACATGTTATCAGTTTCTTTTGCTCTTTTGATACTGTGGTATATAGATTAAAACTGTCATTATGGACAAATATGCAAAAGATGGTTAAACAGAGGTCCAATATAAAGAGTAAAGTACTTACATAAGCTATACTCATGGTAAATTTTCCTCGAGTATCCATAGATGTTTCTTTTCTACCAGAATCTACACCAAATAAATTCACTTTACCCGTATGACTACCAGACGCTAAAAATCTGGAGTCAGGTGAAAATGCAACTGTCCAAGCATCAACTGAAACAAAATTATAACATTTTAACCATACATGGAAAAAATTATCTTAAGTTAAAATCCAATACATGTATTCCAATCGGAATAATAGATAAAATATGCAAACCAACTTAACATGACTAACGTTTGCAATATTGATCAAGTAAACCATACACCAATTTCACAGAATGGAAGTAGACTATCTGATTAGATAGCAATTTGTTACCTTTTTATTAGTTAGAAACAAAAGGAAAAGCTCTTACTAACCTGGGCCAGCATCAATACTTTTGGCTAATTTTCCTGTTTCTAAATCCCACACTTTAACATGAGAATCTAAACTGCTTGTTGCTGCCACTAAAAACAGGGTTAAGAATCATACAGACAATAAATATGAAGACATTTTAAGAAATGGTTCTTCATTAAGAATTCAACACAATATATATTTTTCACACACTAATTCCGATTTATAAGAAAAAAATTACCTGCACCTCTAGTATAATTTCCATTTTAACAATATTAATATTAGTGAAGCTAACTTTATCCTTGTGCCTTCTGTAGAAATAGTTACTTGTTGCTTTTTTTCACCTTATTCCATACAGAAATCAAAAAGAAAAACACAAGTGGAAGTTCATAATTTCCTAATTTTCAAAAAAAGGATACAGGTTCCAGTGGGGTTGATATCTACTGATATAACTCCTAGTTGATGTCCTTCTAATACAAATCTTAAATCTAACTTCTCATCTGCCCTGAAAAAAAAAAAACAATACATCAATATGTCTTCATCAAGCTACATGGGCATCTAAGGTGGCACACCATTCTATCTGAAAAAATTTCAAGATTTTCTATGAGAAAAAAAGTAAAAGTTATGTACTAAGATATAAATCATCTTACCATTTCCAAACTTTAACTGTGTCATCAATTGAACCAGAGACAATATTTTCAATTCCATCTTTTTCATTTCTACCCCAGGCACACGTCCATATACTGTCTTTATGAGCTGGAAAAATGTATTATTAGATTATCCTACTAAAATAAATCATTCTCTTTTCTGATTTCCTAAAATAATGTAATACTCAAAGCAAAAGATAAATCAGCTCAGTTTGTTTGAAAGGTAGTAAGCAAAAAATAAAAACATAAACTAACCTTGCTCTTGTTTGAAAATCAGTGAATGCTGAAAATGAAAAGAAAACTTGTAATTGTCAGACATAGGCCCTACTGAGAAGATACCGGTAGGCTACTGATTTAAAATCTGATTAAAGAGTAAAGCAAGGCCATTAAGTCAATAGTGCTCAGGATGCACACACATACTTAATAGTTAAATAAATGCAGAAAATTAATCCTAGTAGACAAAGATTTAACGAAATCGAGAATCTTGATTTTCTGTAGCCCAATACAAATAAAAAAGCAGTTCTACAACTAAGAAAAAAGAATGCTTTGTTCTTCAATCTTCATTTCGGAGAGATTGTTAATTCATCCAATATGTCATGTTCCATATTCATGTATCAGATGGTTTAGGTAATCTAACAGTAATAAAACACTACTTACATTCATTTTAATTGGTATTTTCAGTTAAGTTCTACTCTGTGTTCATTATTTTTCTACTTTTGGTTTCTGTTTGGCAACAAACTCAAGCGCCCCCTAGTGTAAGAGAAAGCATAACTCTTTAAAGCCGATTTCTTATTATTTTGTTCCCGTTACTAGTTACTTTTCTGTTTTGATGCAATGGATTGAGCTAGGTTAATTTTCCCTAAATAGTCTTTACAAGCTCGGATTTTCACTATGAATTTTGAAACTTTTGAAAACAATAAATTGTGATTTACGAAAATTGTAAATGCTAGCTTTAACAAGCACCTGCAATCCCGGTCTCTGTTACCCAGTCTGCTAAGAAAATGAAAACTGATTGTAAGACTTGTAAATCCAGACTATGTTATGGTGGTTGTTGCTGATGTAAACAACAAATTACATTAATTGGATAAAACAAACCACATTCCTTTATGTTTCTTCTCAGGTATTCTGCTGTTTGAATAAAGAATTACCTATGTTTAGACTGTATAGAGCAATCGTTTAAACTTTAATATAACACTCAGCCTAGAACTCCTTTTCCAATTTTTCTTGCTTGGACATGCATCACTCACTGAACACGTCAGTGTCACACTGACTCAGTGACTGACAGTGACAGTGACAGTGTGAATTTGAATTGGCCTGGTTTATTCAGTTGACCGGTTGACAGTTAATCAAAACTCATTTCTGTGTTTAGTAGGCCAGTATCTAACAACATCTGATATGTATGAGCTGTCAAATTGCTATCATCTAACTCCCCTCTAGGGTTCTATGTGCACCTTCCAAGCCATATGTAGTAGTATTTATAATAAAGCATTTATTTCACACTTCCAAAATCAGTTTATCCTATAGTTTGATTTCATTTGAATGTCTTTCAGGATAGTCTAACAAAATGTCTGATATTGAGCCATCTATACCTGTAGTTGATATCAGTAATTCTAGAAGTCGATACAGAGATGATGAATCTGGAGAAGATTATGATTCCGAGTATGATTCTTTGTAAGTGTAAGATCATCTATAATATCTCTTATCTACAGATTGTAAGCTCCTAGACCATTGTGTATCGATAGCATCGTTACTTTAGAGATTTACAGATTTGATTGACAGTTGATCTGATATGTTTTCTTATTTATTATTCATTATACTCTGTCTCTAATTAATCTATTTCACCTCCCGGAAAATCAAATAGTAAAACCATCCAAGTGTAGGCTAAGGCATACAGAAAATAGAATCAAACAGAATGTTGAAAAGGGATACAAAGTTACAACTGTCTAGACTTCCACCAACATTTTTAATCCTGAAAAGTGATCTGTATAATTGAAATTTTTGGATGACTTTCTTTGTTTGATTTGATAAGATCTTGTGTTAATACTATTGATAAATTTTTGTAGCAACTCAGAAGAAGACGAGAGAACTGCTAGTCCAGCCTCACCAGCTCGAAGTACTAACTCACACGGAATGAGAAAAGTTAAAACAGTCAATGGAAAGAAAGTCAATATTGATATGACACCACCTGATGAACAGTTAAAACTGGCCATAAAAAGAGCCAAGAAATTTGCTGCTAAAAAAAAGGTAAAATATTCAGTTTTTAACATGAAGGATGATGAGCAAGTTGCGATCACAAAGAATCTAGTTTGTAATTCAGCAGGTGAACAGAACTGTTAAGTTTTCTATTTCAAAAAAACTAATCTAACACTGCATGTAACAGGTCTAATAGGTTACGATACAGAGCTTAAAGTAACACTAGTAATAATGTATTGTTTAAAATATTTTTTGTTTGTGGCACTGACCTAGTTGACAATAACCCAAACTTTTTTAAGATTTAAAGTAATTACTGTATATTTACAGGTTGACAAAGCTATTCATGAGTATACCAGGTGTATTGCTCTGTCTAGAATTGTTTATGGTAGTAATCATTGGAAATATGCAGAAAGTCAGGTCAATCTAGCTGAAGCTTATTTAGAACTAAAAGGTAGCGTATTTTGCTTTGCTTTATATTATACCAGTATTTCAAACACACTTGTCTTTGTAATGAAATTTACTTTTGCAGAAAATACCCTGGCTTATTCAACACAAACATAAAGAAAAGGTGGATTCTCCAAGCTGGAAGTGTCATAGTTTTTAAGTAATTATGTTTATTTTCTAGATTATAAAGCTCAAGCAGAATATCATTCAGAGAACGCTAAAAATGTGATGCTACATGGAGTACATACAACAAGCACACAACAAGAAAAAGCTGATGTTTATTATGTTTTAACTAGAATATATCGTACATTGGGCCAAGCTTACACTGGTATGAAAAAATATCCTTTTAGAACTTGATAATCAGTCCTACAATTTTATATAGATATAGATGAGCATTTAGTTAAAACTAGTTTATGGTGTTCAGGCTCTTTCTTGCTGACATTTGTCAAAAAATGCTTATCCTAAAATACTGAGTCAACGAAATTCCTCTCATAAATTACAGTCTTTTCACAAACAAATTGTAAAGAAGTTAATTTGATGGAAATAAAATGAATGGAAAGTTTTCTATTTATGAAGCATTGCCAATCCTTAACTATTATTCACATATCCTGAAGCTGAGCAATGTTTGACTAAAGCTAGTAGAATAGGTGAAGAAAGAGAACAACTATCGTGTGTCAATGCTGATGAAGTAGATGATACTAATATTAGTCTATCATTGGCTATGGCTAGGTAAGATTTTATAGCATTATTTTCATCTTTTTTTCATTATTCCAATAAGGTGCAAGACAAAGAAGCATAAAAAATTTTTGTTTTATCTCCAAATTTTTCTAAACCAAACTGTAGAATGAAATTGGTGATCTGTACCAGTTTCTTTCTTAAATATGAATGAAAGAATGAAAAGTTCTGATGATTTTTTCAAATCTGCATGGTAACATCTGAAGGGTTGATTTCTCTTTCATAGATATTTTGTGCATTTTTTCACTAGGCAATAACACATTGAGCACTAATTGAAGTTAAAACATGTTGTGTTATTATTGCAGGTTACATAGTAAGCAGAAGAAACATGCCTTATCCAGTGCTGAATTTGATAAAGCCTTAGAATTAATGAAAGATAGATATGGGGAAGATGCCCTGGAACTTATCCCTGTTTATCAAGAATATGGAAAAATATCCTTTTGAATTTATTGATGTTATTTTACACTAAACTTGTGGTCTCAACACCCCCTCATTGCTTAATCATGGCTCATTTTAATCAAAGATGTTCCCCTTTTTTGAGATTGAAGTTAAATTTTTAGTAAAGGTTAGAAGGTCTTTAGTAAATCTTTATTGTTTACTTTTGTATTTTTTTCTTAACTATAATACTTAGAACAGAGTAAAGGTCGACATGCCAATCATGAGAAAGCTATAGACCAGTTTTTACAAGCACATTCTATTGCTGGTTGCCAGTAAGTTAATTTTTTTGATATTTAAACCGTCTTCATTAGCCCACATGGTGCAGAAAAGTGGGACGTAAAACTCCATTCATTTGATATTCAAATTAAAAATATTGATTAAAAAGTATTTATTTATAGAAATGTCTGTTCTAGGGATGTTCAAGGCATTGATCAGTTCCAACTCAAGGGAGGTAACTACTAGATTTTTTAGCAGTACAGTGTTAACAAGAGTCTTGAACTGGCTGCTAGACAGTCATTTATTATGTGATGATCACAACATTGTGATCTATTTCTTTCCTCTATTATTAGCTACAAAGATGGAAGTATGGAACTAGTAGATACAGCACTGTCTTTAGCTCAAGCTTACGCTAATACTGGTCGTGATGAGGCAGAAGGTAGGGCGACAGACTACTAAATTAGTAAGCTTAGTCGGCTAGGTACAGATCATGTGCAAATTGGATATTGGAGCTTTTTAGTTTTGGATAATATTAACAACAATTTTCCAGAAAAAACATTACATTTATTACAATAACTATATAACAAGGCTTAAACAACGTATAATGAAGGGATCAAGTGTTTTTTCAAACTTAACTATTTCAGATTCTGCAAAGAGTTATTTAGAAGAATGTTTAGTGAACTGTACTACTGTATATGGACCTCATCATGCTAAAACTCTAGAGGTACAAGATGAACTAGCAAGGTTACTCATTAGAACAGATAGACATGATGTAAGTTATTCCTTATGAGGGACAATTTTTTAAGAGATATTTCTTAGTGAGAGTCTACATATGAGTCTAAGGAAAATAAAGCACTGACCATGAACAAAAATGAAATGTTACAAGTGGAATATGAATATTTATATTTGCAGGAAGCAATGAATATATTGAAATCTAGTATAAATCCAAAATGTGAAGTATTTGGTGATTACTCTGAATCTGTATCAGATACATATAAACTAATGGCCTCAGTTCATCTATCTCAGGGAAATATAGAAAAGGCTCTTAGAGCTTATAAAAAGGTCAGTATCATAACTTATAGATACACATTTAGTACCCTGTTCAGTTTATAATTCTGATATAACATAGTAACATGAATGGTTTGAAGAGCATAGCTTATTTTTTTCAAGGGTTTAGAAAACAGTCAATACCAATGTTGGTCCAGATTTATCATATTTAGATCCTATCATTCTATGTCATGTGTGAGGCTTTGAAATTGAATATGATGAAATAGATTTAATGACATTTAAAATATTTTTAGCTTTATTATATTTATAGCATTGTATTCGCCCTATTTAAATCTCCACATTAGCATTTTCTACCTCTTCCTAGTGTAATTTTAGATCATATTATATAGTTTATTTATTATTGTTCAATTTCAGTGTCACAATATAGAAACATTAGTGCTGGGTAAAAATCATAAAAAGACAAAAGAATCTCAAACTACAATGGAACTTTTGATGGCGTAAGTGAACTACAAAGAGATTGCTCAGATCTTTGTTGTTTAACATTGTCAGTGTCAAATTGGGAACAAACTTAAAATTTTCTTTTAATATCCATTTATATCAACATGATGCTTGATGCAAGTAATTTTTACCCTTTTTACCTTTTGTTGAAAAACTGTCTGTTTATGTTCTATTACTCAGAGAGTGATTTCTAGGGTAAGAAATTTGCACACTTTGTACTAATTTCAATTATTTTATATTTCAGGAGTCCAGGGATATCCTCCAAGTTTGTTCTAGATAAATCAGATGAACTGCAAAAGAGACCAAAATTTAACAGTGTTGTGAATAGGAGTAGGCCAATATAGAACATCAGCCATTTTCTTATTTATATTATTTAAAGGGATTGTAAAGAGGTTTTTGAAATAGTTTATGTATATCAGGGTCACTGATATATTTGCAGGAACCACAGATGTCTGATTGAAAATGGAAATGGTGCAAATTGATGCTATCAATGCCCCCGATATGAATTTTTGGAAAACCTATATACCATCTCTTGTACAATAATTGTGTATATATTCCTCTTACTCTTAAAGTTAATTTGATTCTATATACATGCATACTAGCAGCAAAAAAACAGAACCTCAGTTTTGAATGCTCTGTGCTCTGCAGAGATTTTATAAAGGACTTAAAGATTAATATTTATATTTATTTGTGTTTCTTTGTAATGAAACACATAAAATATTCTTAACTGTGATATATTTCTGAACGTTGTTGTATGTTCACATAATTTATGGTTATTTTTTAATTCTGTGATATACATTTTAATAATGCCTATTATGTGTATTTCTCAGTCTTATCTATATGTTTGTATTTCTAGTATTTGCTTAATAAAAATTTTGGAGGTGAATAGATTTGTTTGTTTTTTGTGCAAAGTAAAATTGAAATTCCACTTGTGTTTAGCATTAAGGCCTACATGAACATGGTTGATGTCGCAAAGAACATATTAACTTCTTGGTGGCCTGAATTCTACTTCTGCGCATTTTACGGGCTAATTGTTAGTGTAATAACAAACTAAAACAGACTATTCGGACTATCGGAAATAACCTTTGACCTCCTGCCACATTTTTATCATGGCTGACAAACATTGAAGAAAACAAGTTTGTGCCGATTAGAAACCATTAGACATGTTCTAAAGCTTTGAAATTTTTCACCACGCTTTTGATTTCAAGTATAATCTCAGGTGAGTCTGTAAAGATGTAAACATTTATAAAAATTTCTCATCAGAAAGGCCGCAAAGGAAAAATGAACACTTGAACGGAAATTCATTTTTGGCAGGGGGGTGGGACGTAAATTGACAATCCGTAGCCTAGGCCTGAAGCAGTCTGTCAGACCAGTCATTGTTAACTCCTTTCATGCACCTTCAAGGAAGTGGCTTTTTAAATTCCTACATGAATAAATTTTTACAAAACATTATATCAATTTCAAAGCTGTGTTGATACTGTTTTACTTCATAGATAATAGTCTATTAGTGACATAAGTTACTGTTGTTACTCTTGGAAAAGTTAGCTAAGATTTTAAAGGTCATGATTTCAGCCAAATTGGAGACATAATTATATATATATGGTATATGGTTTACATTGTACTAAAAATAAACTTGCACACATGTCTACATGGCTTCATTGTCAATAACTGATTATGAAAATGATAAGTTTATGGATTGTGAATGGTAATAAAATATCTTAGATGATTTTGATTATATTTTTTTTCCCAGACATTTATTTTACTTATTATGGTCTTTCGTGCCATCACAATTCGATTCACATTAATGTGGTTATTTTTTTGAATGGGTTAAATTAATCAAATATATAATTGATGAGTTTTGAGATAACTAACGAAAATAAGTCATTGATTTAGGTTTCTGCAACATCATTTTAGTGTTCTTATAACAATAGCAGGAGTTATATTTGATTAATGAATTTTCTTTTCATTTATAATGGCTGCTTTTTGTTCTGATTTTTCTGTAGCAAGTTCTTGAGTTGGTCTTCTGGGTTTATTTGTTTTTCTGAACTATTTATAAATTTGTATAATTTTAACCTCTATAAAGTCATTTAATATGATATTTCATCTTATCTTTAGATATAAGCTTATCTATTCTCTCGATTCCATATGTGTACCATACAGTTGTGTTTCTAGATATCATTAGGTGGAGAATTGTCACAGGGGCCAACAGCACGAGGCATTTCAGAACTCAATGATGAAATTTGACATGACCAAAACCTGGTCAGCCTTCCTCAAAAAAACACCACCACAGTACCATATGATATGAATTTTAAGAGGTTCTAGGATAAGACTCTGTATTTGCCAATGAACATTGTCATGCATGTATAAGCTTCTTTTGCTTTTTCATAATGATTTGTTTTACATTATTGGGGATATTAGTTCCAGTGGATATCGCAATATGGGTATCTATCATGATATTTTATAAGTCAGATTTTTAGTCTCTATCTATGATTTTTTAATGTGTAAAAAAAAATTTTTGTATATATATCTTAGTCTCAATCTTTGAAAGCATGAAAAAGCTTAAGTACTGGTATTTCAAATATTAATTTACTTGATAAAATTATGCGGATGATCTTAACTGCATGAAAATTGATTTTATGTCATTATAATTACCATATAGCACAATATGGTGATATTTACTGTATTTTTGAAACAGATGATATTTCTAACAATATGAATTACTATACTGATCACCCAGCCCTATAATGAATATTTGTATAAATCATGTTGATCTGATCTAAAGCATAATCAATATCCATTTAATTTTAAATAAACATGTGTGATAGTGAATAAATATTTTTATGTCAATATAAAAACCTCATTGTATACTGTAGCTATTGTCATGAGATTTTTATGCTTTAACACTATTGAATGGTTTCTTATAAAGACAAATTATCGTTGAAGGTCAATGAATGTCAGACAAAAAATTGTATTGTGCGTGTTAAGAAGTTTACATTTTTCTTATCAAACTTGAAAAGAAAACTTATGAGTTTCACAGTCTATTCTTATTCAGCTTTCTAAAAACCTGAGGAAGAAGGAAAATGTATTAATGAGATATTGTTTAAGTGAATACATTATGTATGAAAGGAGAGAAAAAAATATTCAATGAGAATTTACATTCTTATGAAAAGAATCTTCAGACTTCATTTGTCAGGGAAAATGGTTATCGTTCAATGTGACCAAGGCAAGACAATGATAAAGACCAAGGCAAATGATCATTTACTTGGCAAAATCCTCAGAATTCAAGTTATTTATTAATTTTCAAACATGATACACAGAAATTTGAAGGCTCACATTTTGACGGTGAGGTGTGAAAACTATTACTGATTGGCTTAGCTTAAAAATTCCCATTTTTGAAGCTACGGTACAAATGGATGGCAAACCTGTCCCTTTCAGACATTTAAATCTTTTCTCTGTATCTTTTAAGCTGATAAGATTACTGTATGTGAATGAAGCATATGTGAGGAAATGTTCTACATTTAGTAACTGTAGTATAGATTGGGAATTTTTTGCTGAGGAAAAGTTATATAAAAATAGGTTTTGAAGACAAAACAAACATCTATTAATGGGCCAATAGGGCCTAATTAGTATGAATTATATATTTTCAGAAGATGTCTCTTAAGTACAATTTGTTTCAGGGACAATACTTTATAGGATTGATAACCATAATACATACCATAGTTTTGTTTACACTTGATGACATATGTTGTAAATTAAGATTGATATAGATGTCACATACCGTGATACTGTGGAGTCCTTTTTGTTACAAAATAACTATTAATGCAGAAAACCTGACTTCACGGCTGGTCTCGAAGTTAACTGGTTTCAACAAAACTTTTTAACATGTCAGACGAAATGTATTACAAATCAAGTGATCAATATTCTTCTTGAGAATCATAGGCTTGCTGGAAATTATGAAATGAGTGAAAATTATCCCAAATATGTTTTTTCTACTTGGATGTCTTGTATTTACAACAAAACACTGATTAATATAAGTGGACTCTAACTGCGATTAGATCTTCTTGTGCTATTATTGTATCTCACATAGTGTCAATATTGGACTAGTCCGTGTTGTCTCAATTTCTAATATTCCAGTCAATATTTGCTTATATTCTACAGGAATTACTTGGGGAATTTCTTATCATCCTTTCAAACCTTGAACCAATGTTTATAAATTGTATATTGGTGGGCCATTAATGATATTATATCTTCTAGTGATGTCTCTACACAGGTTCCAGTTCCTGTTTTAGTATGGCTTCTACAGAGCAAATAAGTTAATGTGATGATAATTCATTTCCCATGACAACTAAAATGAGATTTATTTGAGTTAGTATTTAGTTTATACTTGATATAGTGGTTTAATATGTAAATATTGTACACTGCATGGTGATGCCCATTTAAATGAAACAATAAGGTGAAATTAGAATTCCATTTCAAGCTCTCATATATCTGGTATAGCTTACAATCTCAAAGGAGTCTTACAAAATAAAAAACAAACTGTTGCCATTTATTTCACAGTGCTCAGGATGCAAAATTTGTCAGAAACCGTTTCTGGTTCTGTTTATTACTAACATATTTATGCCAATTTAGGGTGTAGGATAAAAAAAATTTATAATTCATTGAAAGCTTCGTGGTTTGTGCTGTTACTGTTTTATTACAATATTGTATGTGTGAAACATAGGGGTATGGTAATTGTTAATAAACCATGTGATATGTAGCCAAGCTAGTGAAATATGAGGAAGAGTCAAACATTTAGGAAAATTGACAGTTTGTTGATGATGTTAAGCTAATCAATGGAAGGAGACGTATTGATTGTCGAGTCCAACTTATTGCCAAGATAAATATCGTAAAAGAGATGCATCAAAGGAAATAGAGAAGTGATGAGTTACTATTACTTTTAAAAGCATGTTAAATGAAGGAAAGTGAAAGTTTTCAATAAAGTTGTATTATCTTTTACACTTGACGAAACGAGCTCATGAATATTAATGACATTCTGTTTCTTTAGTTGGAAAGAAAAAAAAACATGGAAAAAGCAATGAAAATTCAATGTTTCTACCAGACTGATGTTTGAATAAAGTTTGACTTTCATCATCACGATCATTATGTAAGTATAGAATCTTTCTTGTTTCTTGTTAAAGAATTGTATTGAAGGCAGTGAAGAATTTTTTAAATGACAGCACATTTATTTGAGAAACTTTTTTTTTGTATATCAATTACAATTTTTGGAAATTGTAGCGGGCAGAGGTTAACACCTGACCATGTAAGGCAACATTAAGGTATAGTCAATATATCTTTTGAAAGGATGCTGAGTTAAAAAACCAGAACAGCACTAGGTGTTCCACTAGAGTTACCATACAAGACTTTATCGAACTATACTGATATTGTACTTGTTATACTGGCTTATTGAACATTATAACAATTGAAATTGCAAACCACAATAGAGAATTCTGTCAGTCTTTGAAAGAGAGACTAAGATTAAGAACTATTATGACATTAGGTATTCTAGGAGTGTTAAGATGTAATGCTTATCATATGTAACCCAATATGGTACTTTATACTGAGAGCTTATTGGACAATTTGTAATGATCATAATTGCAATCCTCAATAGAGAGTCTATTTTATATCTGACTGACCAAATATCTTAATTAGAAGTTTATCTTAAAGTATGTAAACTTCCATGTTAGAAGATAAAGTTGTGGTTAGTTAGTCTCTTGGCTATCAGGTTTTTAAGTACAGTACAGACTGTCAGAATCTCTCTATTGAAATATTCCTTATTGAATACAGTATCTTGTTAAAATCCCTTGATAAATAAAAGATATGGAATATTGGTAAATCTATTTGTGGA